TGCAATCAGAGTAGTTTAGTACTACTTTAAGTGTCACAGATCCATCCTATGGAATCCTAGTTTGCAGTTTGGTGTTTAGAATCCTCTGCTGGAGAGTAAGAGTACAGTCCCCTGAGCTATAAAGCACAGGACCGCCCTAGCAAGGAAATCTAAGTACACCAAGTTATAAATCTCAGGATTTGATAGGACAGAGCCATAGCAGTTGAAGTGGTATCAAATTGCTATAACTGAGTAGTTGTTGTTGTGTGCTTTCAAGTCATTTCCATGGCAATTCTAAGGTGAACCAATCACGGGGTTTTCTTGGCAGGTTTCTTTAGAGGGGGTTTGTTATTACCATCCTCTGAGGATGAGAGAGTGTGACTTTTCCAAGGTCACCCAGTGGGTTTCCATGGCCAAACTGAGATTTGAACCCTGGTCTCCAGAGTTATAGTCCAACACTCAAACCACTACACCATGCTGTACAGGCAAGACTCCAATTTTAAGGACTCTGCACTGTCTTTGACAAAGTCCCTGAAACAAAAATCGGTAAGTCCCACTCCCTTTAACTAATAAATAAATAAATCCAGAGTATTTATTTCCCTGTTTTATAGCCACAAACTCACAGCACTAATCTACTTCACTTTCTGTTACTTTACATACTGGAGCAAATATTCTTACAGGGAGATAACAAGTTTCTAGCTAATCAACTAATCGCAAATTTGTTACTCTTCAAGGATTCCTAATTTTGCTCTGACTTCATTGTCACTCAAACCCCCCTCCCAAAATTCACTATAAAGGTGAACAATCCTTTCAATAATTATGAATCCTAAGTGCTCCTAGCTGTGGACATCAGTTAAAACCATTTTAAGGCTGTGAGTGTGTGTGCACACATGCAGGATATTGAATCTAGACCTCAGAAACAGAGATCAGTGGTAGAGCATATGCTTGACATACAAAAAATCCCAAGTTGAGCCCTCAACATTTCCAGGTACAGCAAGGAAAGAATATGGTCTAAAACTGATGTTGAAAAGCTGGAAAAGGATTCTGAGAGATTATAAAGAAGCTGGCAGAATGTATTAATGCTGCGGAACCCAACTTCATCAAGGGAATGTGAGCATACCTCTGAAACATTGTGCTACAACTAGAGAGCCATCTTAAATGCTTTACAACAGCAGGCAGCTGCCCTGATCTTGGAGGGATCACTTTAATGCCACTACAAAGCATTAGCAACTGCTAGCCTGGTTCTTCTCACTAATAAAATGTCAAGATCCACAGAGTCTTGAGAGGTGGGAGCAGAGCTGGGAAACACTGTGGGATTAAAATTCCCAGCGCTCCCAAGCCAGTATGACCAGTGGATGGCATATTCTAGAAATACAGGCCTCCCCCACCTTTGGATGCTTCGTTTTTTGACACTTCACTCTTTCAACACTTGGAAATTACAGACAAGTTCCAGTAAATGGACAGGCATTCTGCTCTTTCATCGGTTCTTCCTGCCTATGAGGCTTGCTTGAGATGGCTCGCATGCGTGTGTGTGTGGTGTGTTAATTTAGCTTTTGTACACATTCAAAAGTGGTATATAGTGTATTATTTACACTTTTAGCAGGCAAAATGTTTTTGCAAGCTAAAAAAAAAAAAACCCTGGGATCCACTTTTCAACCAATTCCACTTTCTGACAATCTGCTAGTCCCTAACCTGTCAGATAAATGGGGTTTCCTGTACTAGTTTTTTAAAAAATCTTTTCTGAGCTTTGGGACAGAGCACTGAAATTGCTATACTTTTTTTTGTGCCCCTCACATGTACTAACCATCATTGTAGTTGACTTTTTTGCCATTAATATCACAAAACTGCTTCTTTCCTTCCTCCTACCCTCCCAACTCTTTTGCTGCAATAGATTTAACATGATTGTTCTACTCTTATTCTAGACAAAATATTAGGAAGTGGGGAGGGATACTAGCCCTTCTACTAGTGGGCTGCTTCTGTTTCACTGCAACTCACCCAGAGAGCATTTTATGTATTTGTGACACAAATTTGAAAACCTGTTTAGAAAGAGGGAAAGGTAACACGCCTAGTTCCGCACTATTTCTCTATTGTAAAATGTTCCCTTTGAAAGCTGCTTTCTCAAACAGCCAGTCATTGTGGTTTTATAGTTTCTGTATCACATGCAGCCTGGCCCTCAATGGCTTTTTTTCCCTTTGAGAAATGCTGACTTTCATGGTGCATCACAACATGTGAGACAGACTCCTTTCATCTCTTCATCTCCATGGAGCATAGGGGCTGCTTCTAAATGTTGGGCTGAGAGAGGGAGAACCCCACACAGCTAAACCTCTTTGGGATTATGGGATTAATTTTATAGTTGTTTAGATCCTGGCCATTTATCAACATTTACATGTTACACAGCACAAATTATCAGTTTAAAACAGGCATTGACATGTATTTACTCCAAATTTACATCCATATTATTAGAATATGTATACAAAACAACTCTTTGCTGCTTTCCCCATCTGTTCCTTGCTGTTCAAATGCATTGAAGGAGCTCGCCCAGAGCCACTTTACTCATTAAAAAACTGCAGATCTGTATTTGAATCTTTATAATATATAATATATCAACACAACAAACATCATGATACTTCCCTCTGCTGTGAATAGGAAGCATGAGAGGAAGGGTGTTACATTTTCATCAAGGCTATTAAAGACACCCCTTCTGCAAACATACACACAGAATCCATTACAGTACCAACCCCCAAACCCCTCGTTTGTTTTGTTTTCTATTAAAAAACAGATTACCCCATGATCAACATCCCAACTAATTTATTGTTAGCACACTGATACAGCCCACACCTAGGAAATGTTTGCTATTTCCACCATTCTAAATCCAGAAACATGAAAAGAACTCTTCTACTTAACAACATAAATAGGTGTCCTACTTTTCAAAACGATTTGAAAGCATCTTCTATTTTGGGATGGAGAAAGTGCACCTTGCAGGCTGTGCGTGCCCCTAAATCCTACTTGTGCATTGCCCAAAGCCTCCCGACAGTCTCCCAACCCCTGTTAGATTTTGTTAGGCTGAGTTTCAGGTGAGTATTCATGCAAAAACAGTTCCAAATACCCTCCCTCGGTGTAGCACTTTGGTTTTTCCACACACCCAAAACCACCCACAAAGACTAGGTTTGTTAAAACTAGGTGATGGCAGAACTGACTTAATGTCACCCCTTCTGTGTTGTACCAGTGCAGCCTGTGTAAGCAAACATTTCCTCCTGAATGGCTGTCTGGCCCATGTTGAATAGTGGGGGAAAAAATACCTAAAAGGATATGGAGAGAAATCAAAGGTCTCAGAGTTACCCATCAAAACACCTGGATAGCAGACCCAAAACTGGTTTGCAGTTTTGCCCACAGAGGCAAAATATTATTGTATTTATATAGAGCTACTAGTAATTGTTTCCAAATCTGCACATACATAAGAATGTGCATGTTTTATACAAATCTGTGACTTCTTCTGATGATGCTTTAAGGTAGAAATAGCAATAGCAATAGTGCTTTAGATTTCTATACCACTTCATAGTGAACTAAGCACTCTCTAAGCAGTTTACAATGTGTTAGCCAATTGCCCCCAACAAGGTGGGTATTCATTTTGCAATCCTACAAAAGGATGAAAGGCTGAGTTGGCCCAGAGCCCTGTGGGATTGAACTCACAACGTTTTGGCTGCAGTACCAGCATTTAACCACTGTGCCACCAAGGCTCCCCTAACTGAAGGTGCCTAAAGACAAGGGTGTCATTAGGGGTGGGGTGGGGGTTCACACAGCACCAGGTGAAACCTCAAAAGGGGTGTGACACTTGATTGGACCCTCCACCCGCTATGGCCACTGGTGGGAATAGGGTGCTCCTGCCACCAGGCAGCCCCATCCAGGTCTGGCGTGGCTGCTGGTCAGCTAGGAAAGAGAGGGGTTTGTGGTGGCAGCACCAGTGGCACCTAGGATTTCATAGAATCATAGAATTAAAGAGTTGGAAGAGACCACAAGGGCCATCCAGTCCAACCCCCTGCCATGCAGGACTCCAAATCAAAGCATCCCCGACAGAGGAAGGAGACTCCACTACTCTCCGAGGGAGTGTGTTCCACTGTCGAACAGCTTCCACTGTCAGGAAGTTCCTACTAATGTTCAGGTGGGATCTCTTTTCCTGGAGCTTGCACCCATTGTTCCGGGTCCTAGTCTCTTGAGCAGCAGAAAACAAGCTCTTTTCCTCCTCATTATGACATCCCTTCAAATATTTAAACACGGCTATCATATCACCTCTCAACCTTCTCTTCTCCAGGCTAAACATCCCCAGCTCCCTAAGTCGTTCCTCATAGGGCTTGGTTTCCAGACCCTTCACCATTTTAGTTGCCCTCCTTTGGACACGCTCCAGTTTCTCCATATCCTTTTTGAATTGTGGTGCCCAGAACTGGACACAGGATTCCAGGTGAGGCCCGACCAAAGCAAAATAAGAGTGGTACTATTACTTTTTGCTCCCCTTCCTGCCACCATCACCTCCCTTTCCCACCCTGCTAGCTGCTAGTCAAGAACATCGTGTTCTAGCTTCAGTGGCAACAGTGGGCAGCCTTTTGCAGGCAAACACGGGGTGAGGAAAAGGGATTTTTGGGCAGCGGCAGCAGCACTCCATGCCCACCAGCTACCATGGGGGCTGCTGGGGATGTGTGACAGGAGGCTTGGTCAGGATGGAGAGGGAGACAAGTGCTACTCCCTGCCTGCTGCCTTTTCTCCTTCCACCACCCCCTTTCCTCCCCCTCTCTCCCCATGTTGTTTCCCCTGGAATGGCTGCCTGCCTGGGTGTGGGTGTGTGTGACAATATGAATTATTGACAGAGTGACACCAACCCTAGTGATGCTACTACCTGAAGACATTTTTTGGTGTGAGGCAGCTCAGCTTTTAAGTCTATTTCACATTAATTGTATTACATGGGCTACACTGATCCAGTAAATACAGCTTTTACATTCATACACAGGGTGATTTTAAGCCTCACAGTGCTACCGCCCCAATTCATGGTGGCAGTTTTACACTATTGTACTTTTACTGAGCATCCATCTAGCAGTAAACCATCAAAGGCCAGCAATTATAAAGTAGCCCTAAAGAAATGGGGGCAACTTGGTCTGGCTGGTTCTTGAAAACATGAAGATCCCCCCCAACCCAGTCTTTGAAGGAACCACTCTGCAGAAAGTACCACCAACTGGCTACCATAATTAAAGTGTTATTTTTGTGAGACAAGGCAGGGGTCTACTGTGCACTTGCTAGGCAGGGTAACTGACCTGAAACCACAATCAAAACCGAAATCAATTGTTAGGTCTGATTTAGATTAATCCAAATTTCCATAGGCTGCACAATGGATTTGTGATGCCTGAATATCAAAAGCATGCAGGATCATAATTTTCGCTAGCATCACCAAGAGTGATAGTAACAACGTTTTCTACCTTTACAGGTACAGGTTGAAA